AAAGTAATTTATTTTTGGTTTAATAATATAATTTTTATAAAGATAATAATTAAAAATTCTGTTAAAACTTAATGATTATCTTAATTATATTTTACATTTTCTATTTTTAAAATGAATGTTTATGTTATATTTGATTATGTTTATCTACCGTTCGTTACAGAATTTAAGAATGAAGTTTTAATAAGTTGTACTTACGTAAAATTACTTCTAATCTTGAATTGTAAGTAATATATACATCAATAAACAGTACCTCATACGTGAAAAATAGTTTTTAAGAGTTCTTATCAAACGTTTTAAGATTCAAGAAAATGTATGAAATTTAATGAGTTTGTTTGGTTTAATTTAAAGAATTAATCTCACACAAAGTTACAAATCTAAAATCATTCCATATTTAGAAGAACGTGTCCGAAAGATGGGAGCTATGTTTATGCGTTACAACGATCAAAGGCTCGACCCCGTAGACAACAACATTATTAGATGGTATTCCCGGTGAACCTTAGCAGGCATCTAGATCACGGCACGGAGGCGGTTTGGGCTCACCCAACAACGTAGTGTTCCCACCTTCGGGTCCACAATTGATCCGCTGCGGGTTTTGTGTGCCACGCTGTTATATTAAGAAAGAATGTAAGTTAGGTGATCGTGTGGGTGATGATCGAGTAAGTAGACCGTAAGCATGTCTTACCGGTGGCTTCTCTCCTCGTCTTAGAGCCTCGACTATCTCTACAACTCTCTTTGGGGTCACATCTTCCTGTAGATTTCACGCAGAGTCGGGATTAAAACCAAACCAAATCTAACAGACGCTGCTGCGCCTGTATCTCATTTGAAAGTCGGGTATGAAAGCTGGGATGTCAGAGCATCTCCAAAATAGAGAAAAAAGAGATTTTGGAGTTTTTACACACTTGTTATGCTCCAACAGCATCTCCAAAACAAAGAATTGCTATTTTCATCCTTGTACTTTAGAAATTACGATTTACAATCTATTGTTGTTTTCGTCCTTATGATTTACATTATTGATGTTTTCGTTCTTGTGGTTTACAATTCATTGTTGTTTTCGTTCCTCATACTTAAAGGTAGGAGTCAACATCAGGGACAAAAACCGCAATTTTGAAACCACATAGACAAAAGTCGCAATTTTTAACAAACCATAGGGACGAAAATGTAATTTGGTCGATAAGTTGGAACATTCAAACATGGATAAACGGCTGGAGTTGAATGCAATTTCTTTTTGGAGTTTTTGACTTTTGCTTCTCCATTTTAGAGAAATTGTTGAAGAAGCTCTAAACAGACGTTCTTCTACACCAAAGAGTAGCGTAATTGTTTCCATGAAGACACTCGGGGTTGTAATTGTATGTAAAATTTATATGAATGCGGTTTATAAAATGAAAAAACGAGTGTTGAATATACTTACATAATAGTTGTATGTATATCCTTCGGATCTGTTTGAATAATCTGCCACAGTAATCATAGGAGCATTTACGCAACAACCCTGCATAGTAAAAGAAAGAATGGAGGCCATCAGTTCAGCCGTTGTTGTTCACAAACACGAAACGGAAATAAGACATAAGAGATCATCTGTATCAAGTTACAAGTTTCTGTCATACAAATTAGTGGACCGTTACCTTCAGGGGAATACCGTTAAGCAACCATACCAGATTTGGCCACCAAAAGCTAGCTTCTCTTTTGAGCTTGTTAAAGAAGTCGTTTGGTTAGCGCAAGATAGCCTTTTGAAAAGCTAACTTAGGGGGCGTTTGGTTGGTGTTCCATTAAGTCCTGAATGGATAAAGTTGTCTATGTGGATTAATCTGTTTGTATAGATTGGGAAAGGTATTTGTTTGGCAGGGATTTTCCATAGATACGAGTGTGTGTTTTAATTGAGAGGGGCAGGTTTGGAAAAAACTTGACTTTCAGCATAAAGCTTACTGAATAAGCCACTTTCAATATCATTAAGTCACTACCAAACAACCATGTATAGTTGACTCAATAGGTTCCATTAAGCTCATTAAGCTGCTAACAAACAGACCCTTAATTAGCGTTTCAATAAACTCCAGGGTTTTTTATTACATTTTTTCCAACTATGCATTACTAAGCAACACCTGGCTCAATAAGTTGTTATTGAGACTTTTATCTATATGCTTTATAATATAGTACAGATATAGATAAGAAAGAGTCTGTTTCCCAACATCTATATTTCATAAAGCACAATTCTGGGCATGTGTGAGACAAGGAAAACGCTATGTTCCACCATGAAAAAGTGACTCACCATGCATTCCATTTCTCCGACAGAGAATAAGCCATCTTTTGTTACCTCTGCATACCATAAACAATCAGACAATAGAGTATCTTAGACACCACTTGCAGAGTCTTCAGTGTGTATAAAACCAAAAAAGGATTTCCAGAGGGCTGCAAAAAAGAACAAGACAAACCATTCCGTTTTACTCCCAAGTGCTTCAATAACGCATTTTCAATATCTCGCGACCCACGAATCATACAAGGAGTTGTTCCACAGACTAAAAGATGGTACTTGCCAACCTGGAAAGTCATCATACAAGCCCATTTAGGTTCCCGAGTCCAAAAAACGAACGATATAATGAAATTGGTTTTATAGGACGCCATATTACGTTTAAATGTCCACAATAGATTGCTTAATAGGACTTAGATTTGTAAGACATAAGGTTTATAAGACCAAACAATTGTACGCCCGATATAAATGTCTTACAAACTTGCAATAAGTTAATAGGACGCTTTTGGGCGTCCTAGAGTTTTTTTAGAACACTTCTGAAATAAAGCGTCATATTAACCTTTTTCATGACATTATTTGAAAGTGTTCCTAAAAACAAGTGTCCTATAAAAAAATGTTCTTAAAAGTACCATACAAAAAAGCTAATATGACATTCTATTTCAAAGGTGTCCGAAAAAACTTGTTGGGATGCCCGAATAAGTCCTAACATCCTATTGTAACACCTTTATATATGATGCACAATTGTTTGGTCCTATATACGTAAGTCATATAAGGCAGTCTATTAGAACATTTAGATATCTTGGGCGTCCTAGAAAGCCAATTTCGTTGTAGCGGAGTCACGTGAAAAACATACATCGGCATCCTTACCTTAGCTCTGTTAAACATTGAATAAAATGTAGCAACCTCATAAACACGAATAGGAGCAACTTCTATCTCTTTAGCCACCTTGAGCATGTGCCAGAAGAGTAAACAAACAGAGATAAGTAGAATGTGGAAATGGAATATATAGATAGTCAGAACTCAGAAGTATAAGCAAGCAAAAACTTAAACAAAAACAAGATCCTAGCATAACTACATAGCCTACTTTTTTGGTCTAATTACACTTCAAAGCTTCTCTGTTATCCATGACAAAATATGCCTAGTTTTCTGACTCATCAAGTCCCTGGTAGAGTCCATACAGCACTGTGATAAAATCTAAATCAAACTCTTTGGTTCATCGAGTTTTTTCCATAAAATTATTCGATTTTTGGAATCTCAATTTACATGACTTTGAATTTCAAAGGGTAGAAATTCTTACCCTGACGAATTAGGATAAAAGAACCCATTGCGCGGGTCCTAATTTAGTATATGGTTTATTTTGTAACAGTTTTCAGTAACTGGCGTGAAAACTAACTTTTACTTATTTTTAATATTACTCATTCCGTCCAAAAATAAATTGTCACACTTTACCCTTTATTCTAATTGTATTAAGAAATAGATAGAAGCAAATATATGATGCATTCCAATAACAATAATGTGAGAAGGATTCTTAATTATCATGCACCAAGGAGAATGGACATATCTTTAGAACAGATAGCGTAACACTGTACCAACATACCGCATTCATTGCTGAAACAGGAAGCCACCCCCCATGCTGCTGTTGTGCAAGATCCAGCAGTGGAATCACTGCAGATTGCTTGTAGTTGGATGGATAGTGAGACAATATCTCCTTCACCTGCATGCAACAAATACAAACTAAAATTCAACAGAGAAATCACTACAGATACTCACCCTGTAGGTTATGACCTAAATAGATATGGGGTAGTAGTTACCAACAGTAGCTTTCAAAACAGCACATGCTTATTCGATCGCAGTGCTAATATAAATTTAGGTCTATTCTCCTTAAAGAGACTAGGTAACTTGTGAAGCAACAAGACTTGCATTGACAATCATTACAACCAGACAAACTTGTAAAAGAGATTTGACAAGTAAAAGCATTTGGAATCACCAACAAAGAAAAGACGCATTTTATGCAGAAATATCATGTTCATAATTAGAGACGGTAAAGTGAAAAAAATTAGACTCATAGGATAAGCTTTTGAAGATAAGCTTTTGAATAGAATGATATGTGTCCCAAATGTCGTCGAACTATGAAATGAAGATAACCTGGTTCGTGCGGAACCACCCTAGATGCCAATCACAAGAAGGATATGAATTGTCACATCAATGACGGTTGGGTATATCTCATCAATCATCAAAATATCCGCTTTAATAAATAACAAATATGGGCAACAAAGAGCTGAACAATAAGTTGCTCCTCCCTCGGATAAAGTTTCAGAGACAGTTAACAGCCCTATAACATTTTCCCTTTTTTACCGTTTCACACGCTGTTGGTTGAATTTGCTAAGTAATGTACTCATTTTCAGGATATGATCTGGATTTCTAATACAATCAACAAAGTGGTCATAAATATCATACAACATCACTGGTGATTATTGTTTGGTAATCTAAACTTTGAAGTTGGGACTCAAGCGAAAAGGGTTGAATAAAAGATTATCAGGAGCGGACATAGATAGCAGGAGAGTTCGAAGAGCAGTAGCAAGCTTCCAAGCTAAACAAGGCATAATTGTAAATCATCATGTAACTAATATTCGTACGTACTTCTAAAGTTTAGCACATGCAGTTTTTCCCAAGATTTGTTGGTCATTGGTACTTTCTTTCTCTTTGTTGTTAAGTTACAAGAAAGTCGAGAAAACCTATTGCTACTAGTAGGGTTTTGTTTTTTAATCAACTTAACCAATTATTGTCTTTTATCTTGAACTTGAATTGTCATCTTAGAGAGTTATAAATATATTAGGTCTTGCATATATAAAGAAAACATGACAACTATCCCTATTCAAAGATATTGCTTCCTTTAAGCAAAAATAAGCGGTACCCCTATGTCATCTTGACCTACATATATTGCTGTCACCAAGCGTGTGGGGTGGCATATTAACATTATTCTTCAGGTCAACTCATGAATTACATTACTTGGCTGCACTTGTGATTCGTGAAAAGGGACTTGTTCTTGATCTATTCTATGTATTAGTTGGAGCAGAAAACAAATCCAGATAAATAGTTCATCCGAGAATTACAGCCACATGCATCAAGATGACTGTTAAATTGCATAAAGCCCTTCAAACAGACAAAAATTACATCCCCATGCTGTCAAGATGACCGTTAATTACTTGATTTTACAGATTTCTCATCCCACAATATAGCGAAAGTTGTCATACCACTTGCAGTTGCTACAAATCGGCACTAGTAGTTTGTCCAAATAACAACAGCCAACATAAAGATAAAAGGTTGTACTCACGACATGATAAGTTTGGCAACAGGATCTAAATTGTGAGTCCATAACAATTGTGCATGAGCCTTTGAATCATGAAAGAAGATGATCCCTACCAAGTGCTATATTTCTACATTAGGTGCTACCTCAACTTCATTGTAAAATACATTGCATAACTTCAGCCTAAAAGACACCTTCAATTTCTCATTATCCCATTACCTTTACAAGACGAATTCATGAAAACCATATGATTTAAATAATCAATAGAAACTGACCTTTGGTCTGTTAGCTTCGCTGAATTCCCATGGAAGGTCGGGGTTATTATCCGGCGAATCGAGGTGCTACACGAACAAACACACATAGTCAATGAATTGAATGCACATACACTCAAAAAAGGAATCAATATCAAAATTTCATATAGAAAAACAAAATCAATTAACACTTACATAGTTTAGGGCAGTGGATAAGGATCGAGTTGTCTGCAAAAACGAATGAACAAATTGGAAAGAATGATCAAATTAGTTCCAGAGAAAATTAAAATTAAATCGATTGCAAATTGGGAGAAACCTGAGGAAATTGACGGATAGCTTCACGGATCTCGAGCAGACGCTTGGATGCCAGACGAGCCAACATTTTTGCGCTCGGAGCCTCCGACAGTGTGACGGAAAAAATGGCGAAGAAGAAATGGGGACTTTTGGCCTTTTTGCGGATGCATAGTCCACGTGGTTTCCACGTGACCCCTTTAATATTTGAGCCATAGGATTTTATGGGCTTGGGCTAATAACTATGTTTCCAGGACCGGACCAATTGGGAGTTAGGGATCGGTTATGATCGGTTTTTTTGGAAATTCAAGGCCCTGACTTGACCGTCTCGGGATCGTTAAGACCAATTACATATAAGGTGCATCGGACGGGTCGGACGGGTTCAGGTGGGAAAATCAAAAACCGATCGGATTTCATCAAGCCCCAATCTTTGGATTTCGGATTGCTTCGGGTTTGGGTTGGCAGGTTTTCGGGTTGAGGTCGGTCGGGTTCGGCTTTAGTTATAATGCAAAAAATATGTAAATCCAATCGATTGTGACGATGAATTCAATCGATTTAGAGAATTGATAAATCGATAGTATGCTTAAAAATTAAAAAAAGAACACGACCGACAAATATTTTTAGAATTTTCAAAAGATGATTAGATAAATAAGTATATTTATATGGTATTCAAAAATATATATATATATATGTATATATATTTCGGGGTTTCGGATGGATCGAGTGGCCAAAAATCAAATTCAACCCGAACCCAAATTTTCCCCAAAAGGTCGGTTTTCGGATTTCGGGGCATCCGGGTTTTACATAAATACTTTGTTTTCGGTTCGATTTTGGGTTCGGATTTCGGATAATTCGGCTTTTGCACACCCCTACTTAGAGGTGCTCAAAAACCCGACAAACCCAACCCAACGCGAAATAACTCAACCGAAACAACCCGATGTCTAATCGAGTTGTAAATTTTTTAAACCGTAGGTATTGGGTTACTATTATTTGAACTCAACCCAATTCGATGAATCTGATATCTTTTTATTTCTTGGATTTAATATGATTGTTGAATTTATATTAATATATACATTAGACAATTACACTATCACGAACGCTCTTCATATGCACATATTTTCAATCTATGCACATCCCTATATAACTCATTCGTATATATGTTCAGTAACTGTGAACATATATATGTAGATTGAGAAAATCAACTGAATTTGTGACATATGTAAGAAGTATAGATAAGTTGTATCAACTGGTTGTTGATGAAAAAGAAATTATAAGTAGATAAATAACATATTCAAGGTTAAAAGAATATCCTAATGTACCAAAGTATCAACCCGACCAACCCGTACGGCTTGAGTTGGGGTGGGTTGCACTTTGGTTTGGGTTGGGTTGGGTTAAGATTTTTCTAACTGCAAGCATTGGTTTGGGTTGTTTAAATGTATTCAACCAGATCAACTCAACCAATGAGCACCCCTACCCCTACTTACATATAGGGATCCATTTTGTATATAAATTTAATATTTCAAGTGTATTTAATGATCAGTTTTAAAAATCGTAGTTATGAAAACTTGTACTACACTTGTGTCCAAAAAAATTTCTTTTTAACCCACGTCGGATTTCGAACCTAGGATCAGTCCTCATTTTTGGGATTGGGACCCGTCGGCCCTGTTACAGAATCGGCTTCCTCTGTATTGGACCGATTTGCACCAGCTTAAGACCCGTTTTGACCATTTCCAATATTTAGTGCTTATATTTACGGTTTTAATCTAACCAGACAAGAAGGTTTGTATGGTTGTAGGACAAGTGAATAGTTTATAGCTCGAGTTTAGGCATCACTCACTTGTCCATAGTGAATGCAATTTGCCTTATTCATAAGATAGGTACGATGGAGACGTTTCGAAAGGATGACATCATACAATTCTGTTTTAAACATTTCAGTGCTTATAATCCATGTCGAAAAAAAAGCAAAAAAAACATAACCAGTTATTATTAAAAAGATGATAATACTGAAGAATACCAAATGACCTTCGCTTTCTTTATATTAGCGTGAAATGAAGTATTACCATAATCAAAACATTAATCGTTTCGTCACTCGTATTGTTGTCGTTTATATTTGCATATCATCCAAACATTTACTTAAAACAAACAAGGTACTAAAAACCAAAAAAAGTAGCGGACTGATTGATAACTCTCATTTTGTTAGAGTTATTTGTTGTTCTATACCCCTGTTTTATTGTATCTTTGGTACCCATTTTGCTCATATTCTAT